TCTCTGAGTGGACGTCCAGGTTGTTGATGATGAAGTTATTTCTGTTTCTTAGTTTTCCTTCTAACAGTCTGGCCCCTCTGCTGTAGGAATGCTGAGGTCCACTCGAGGCCCTGCTGCTGTTCTGCAGCAGCTGCAGAACAGTAAGGGTTGCTACCAGTTTCTTCTTCTGCTATCTTTGTCCCTGAATGATGCCTGCCAAATGCCAGTCTGATCAGTCTTTTGTGAGGTGACTCTTTGGGTATACAGGGGTCAGGGAGCTGCTTGAGGAGACAGTCTGTTCTTTATAGGAGCTCAAGTGTTGAGCTGTGAGCTCCATTGTTCATTCAGAGCTGCTAGGCAGGTACGTTTAAGTCTGCTACAGCGGAACTCATAAACCGCCTTTTTTTCCCCAGGTGCTCTGTCCCAGGGAGTTAGGGCTTTATTTATGAGTATCTGTTGTGCTGCTGCCTTTTTTTTTTCTCTTTTTTCAGGGCTGCCCTGCCCAGCAAGTAGGCAGCCTAGTCTCTGTCTGCCTGCAGAGGCTTTGCTGAGCAGCTGTGGGTTCCGCCCTGCTGCCGGCTCCGCCCTGCTGCCAGCTCCGCCCTGCTGCTGTGTGATCTTCCCTGCAGTTCTGTTTATATGGGTGTGGTTATAACTGCCTCGGTGATGGTGGCCCACCTCTGTAATGGTGGACTCTCTCTGTTATGGCGGGTTGCCTCGGTAATGGCAGGCTGCCTCAGCAATGATGGACTACCTCCCTAGGGATGGAGTGCCTTGGTAACGGCAGATGCTCCTCCCCCACCGAGCTGCACCATCCTGGGTTCAGCTGTGCTTGCCGTGAAACTCTCAACCCTGAGCATTTCCAAATGCTGTTTTGTTTGTTTTTTTGGGGGTGGGACCCACAAAACCTGGACCCACAAAAAGCCTGGTCACCTGGCTCCCTGCCTTAGAGCCTTCTTTTTTTTTTTAAAGTTGAACGGTTGATTCTCTCCCAGTTGTTCCAGTTGCCTGCCTCTGTGCTTTCTTTGGGAGCTGCAATCCTGAGCTGCTCCTAAAGGGCCATCTTGGATCGAACTCCTGGCATCCTCTCATCTAATGGATGTCTCTTGGAAGCATAATTCCTAAATACTCTGCTCTTCTTGCAAACATCTGGATCATTTTGATTGAAGAATAGCCAAAGACTTATTTATTCCTCGTCTGATGCTCTTCCTTTCTTTAAGTAGATCCTAATGTATCTTCTTAACGGTTAATGTCTAAAAATGTAAACAAGAATTTTTCAAGTATTCTATGCTGCCAGGATTCTAAATTTACCATTATTTTATAACCTTCTCACAGAAATTAAATCAGCTCAAGTGGCTAAGTTGTTCTCCTTCATTCAGTGAAGGAGAGATTAAAAGAGGCAATATTTCTGAGTGGTGGAGGGGCCTGCTAAAAATAAAGCAAATATTTATATAGGCAGTGGATATATAATGAGTTGGTTCATATCAGAAAACTTTGGAAATGAAGAGGTTTTCTGACCTCTTGAGGAAGTCTCATTAAAAATGGCAAGAAATTAAAGAACTTTTAGAAGCTTTGCTATTACCTAACAGGGTAGCCATGTGATAAAATGGAGATTCACAAAGTGCAATAACCCAGGATCCTGAGGAAATAATGTACCACTACACTAAACAAGTAGCATTAACCAAAGCAGTTACCATACTGAAGGTTTGTAAATATGTTCTAGCCATTGTCTGCTTACCTGCAGAATGGATGGAGGATATTCCTGATAGACAACCAAGGTTTTGCTGATTAAGTAAGTTGCTTGACTGTTATTCTGGACTTAAGGAATTCCAGTGTATCTTCAGTGATTGGGGGGTGGGGTGTGTGTGTGGCACACATTTCCCATAGTTGTTATAAAAGAGCAGCTCCAAAAATTTTTTTTAACAATAATAACATACTTGCTGTACCAAATGAATATTTAGAACAATTAGAAAAAAAATGAATCCTAACACTAAATTTGAGACTGCTCAACAGGACTTGAACTTCCATGTCTTGGGAATTGCTATTAGCCTTGATGGCAATATTAACTCCTCTTGGGATCCATAGGCTACTCCATACAGTTAGGAATTCAATTCCTGAACCTCTACTCTGTCATACCACAAGCTCACATTTCTAAATACTACAAAGGATTCATTTGATGCATCTAGCTTTTAATAGGTAACAAGAATCTTCCCCATATATCCACCTAATTAGTCTCTGCATGACTAGAAACCTGAAGATTTAGTCTTTTGGAAAAGACTTCTAAAAATCAGAGGAAAAACTACCCTTGTTCTCAGTGGAAAGGACTTCACTGAGGAACCATAAACTGAGGATTCTTAAGTATCTTCCAGAACAATGATCTTTGGAAGAAGATGACCAAACCAGTGTCTTCAGATCAAGCTGCTGATGACATCAAGTAGATACTTTCACCCAAGACAATAAAACAAGATACGTGTTCTGGTATCTTTGCCCTCCTTTAAAAATTTTGCTCTGCTTATCAATGTGTCTGGTTGTCTCCTAGAGGCCAACCAAAAGTTTTTAAGATTCTTTCACAAATTATATTTTATTTTAATCTTCCATAGTACAGAATTTCTCTGCCACCTAAGGTAAAAACTTTCTTGTGTTTTTTTTCATAGACTATAGCTATTGTTTTTAAATTTTTTTCTAAGAGACAGGGTTTTGTGCTGGACACAGGCTAGAGTGCAGTGTGGCGATGCTAGCTCACTGCAGCCTCAGACTCCTGTGCTCAAGTAATTTTCCCACCTCAGCCTCCTGAATAGCTGGGAGTACAGGTGCTCACCACCTCACTCAGCTATTTTTTTTTTAGTTTTTAGTAAAGACAAAGTCTCACTTTGTCACTCAGTCTGGTCTCAAAATCTTGTCTTACAGAGCCCATCCCTGGCCCCCAAAAGCCTGTGTTGGCTTCCCAAAGTGTGGGATTACAGGCGTGAGTCACCACTCCCCAATTTATTGTTTTAAATCTAACTGACTAATGCAGTTTTTATCCTCTACCTGATTCCAGTAACAAAAATGTAATAGCTATTCAACACTTCAAAAGGGAGATTTTCTTCTATAGGTTTCTTCTGGAATTTAAATTTTCCTGACAATACTAATTTTCACCTTCAGTTTTATCAATATTGAACACTGACTTCAAACAACAAAATATGTCTGCTGACATTATTGCTATAATGTATTGAGTCTCTCCTTGCAGTGTTAGTCCTTTATCTTCAGTGACTTCCCGGCCTCCACTCAAGCAGTCTTCACGTGTTGAAGGATTATTAATTGTCCTGCTCTCATTGTGATAAATGACACCCATTTCAGTTTGTGCAACACTAAGGCCTACTTTTTATGTGGATATCAGGTCACTTGATCATTATACAAATTTATCTTGTGTAATATGGAGTAAGTTTTAGACAATTTTATTCATAATATTTTTCAATATTGTAAAATTTACTCCTACAGGAAATGATATTTCTCTTAGAGAGAGATACTCAGTGACCTTAAATGAGGCAAGTGTGGACTATTCAGGAGAACTTCCAGGAGAGATGACTGACTCCCTCTTCGTCTATACTCTGGGAGCTCCAATTCCAGTAATAGGCATAATGTGACTAGAAAAGGCAGTCCAAAATCTGCCTGTGGTCCTAGCAGAAATCAATAGATGACACACTTCTTTTCTGGAGGTCCAGTAACCCAGTTTAAAATAAAGTTTCACGGTGGTTATGAATGATTTCATAGTTTTTGTTTTTTTCTTGGCCAACAAAGGACAACTTTTGCTTTACAGTGAAGACTGTTTGCAGCACCTCCGTGAAACATGACTGTTCAGGCAGAACAGTTTCGTGGCAAGGTTAAAAGACTACCTGGCTCTCTAGAACAGATTCAGATGGGTTTGGGCCATGGTTTCAGGGTCTGGTTTTGAAATTGGCCTTTGTTTTTGCAACCTATTACTAGGATTACAAGGATTCATAATTATTTTGTTTTTTGTAATTACCTGTATTTGACCAGTATATCCTGTTCAGTCTTAAATGCTACTGCGCAGTTTATTTTCACTACGTATATTTAGTAACAAAATGTACACGAGAGACCAACTGTATACAGACGCAGACAGTGTTCTCCCAATAAACTTGTGACAAGTGGATTCTGACAATGGTGTAGATCTGAACCCCACAGATGAAAGTCCTGATGGCTGATTCTGTCTTTGGTCAAAAGGGAAGGTTGAAGAGTGAAAAAGCACCTAGGAACTTGCAGTTGGGAGCTGATAGGCATAGTTGAATCCTCCCTACCAAACATAAACAACTCCTGCAAAATATTTAAACAGTCAAAATTGCTCAGTGATAATCACACGACAAGATGTAGACAGTCCATCTGTAACTATATTTGAAACCAGAGATTGATAACATTCTGCATTTCCCTTCCTAGATAAATTTACCAGAATAATCACCAAATTGCCCCATTTTAGAAAACTGTCCTCTGCTTCTAAACACTCCTTACATTCACCTAATCAACTCCTATAATCAGCTTCCTACAACCCTCTGTGTAAAGTTTATTTTCCTGTGTTTGCTCTCCCTTGATGCAAAATAATAAACCCAGTCTTGTTGGAATACTCTGTGTGGTCATTGGGTGGCTGTTGACACCTGTGCAAATCTAGGGAGCCCATTTGGAGCCTCCCTGCACTTCTGTCCCTCAACCCCTGCCCTGGTTGATGCCCAGTAGATCTGCTCCAACATCTTTTGAATTTAGAGTGAAGAAAATTTTTGATTCCACCACCTCTGATAGGCAAGCACTAATCAGATGATTAAGTTTGGCTTGAAGGGATTAAGCTCAGAGCAGATAATTACTTGGAATGAATAATCTTGGGGAGAGCTACGGGGGTTGGGACCCACCCTAAGGTGGTTGAAGAGGCGGGTTATTTGGATTCCTTATTAAGGACAGAGGCTGGGCCCTTCCTCACTTTTTCCAAGTCCTTTGCCAACCAGTTGCTTGGACTTGTCCCTCTTCCGAAACAGGTGGGAGCAGAGCATGGACATGGGAATGAGTGCTCTCTGCAAGAAGCCATGGTGGACCCTGCCTGAAAACTTTCATGCTCCAATGGTGTTCCACATGGAAGAGGACCAGGAGGAGCTTATCTTTGGTGAGTAGCCCCTGCTAATGTCCCTTTCTTCAGCCTTGTCTCGATTTTCAATCTTTCCCTACTCTGCCACCTTCATAATTCTCAGATCCTTCCTCGCAAAGCCACCTCCCCATTCCCCAAGGGCTGATGGCTGACATTCCCTCCTCTCACCTCTTCGGCTCACAGGGCACAGTGACACATACCTTCGCTGCATCGAGATGAACAGCCACACACTTATTCAGCTGGAGAGCTGGTTCACAGCTACGGGCCAGACTCGTGTGACTGTAGTGGGACCACACAGGGCAAGGCAGTGGCTGCTGCACATGTTCTGTTGCGCGGAGAGCCAGGACTCCTATCGTCATGCTCGAGGTAGGTATCCTTGGCTGAACTGTGGTGGTGGAGGGGCTTGGTGGTGGAGTTCTGGATGAGTTGTGTGGCATTTTGGATTCTTGAAGAATCCCTTGTGTGGCTGGGGAATCCAGGTGCTTCCCAGAATCCATTGGGGAAAAAAGTGCTCATTTTTTTGTGACATGAGATTGCTTAAGCTGGAGAAGGTAGCAGGGAGGTGTAAATGGGTTACCTTGGAAGGCCTGGGCTGGGGTGACATTCTCCCTGCAATGTCCCTAGTGGAGTGCAGGCCTCCCATGGGCCCCAGTTATGGGCCCTAGTTCATCAGCCCTGGGCACTTCTTTTACAGGCCTGGAGATGCTGGAACGTGTCCGAAGCCAGCCCCTGACCAATGATGACCTGGTCGCCTCCATTAGTGTGCCACCATACACTGGAGACCTGTCTTTGGCTCCCAGAATAAGTGGAACCGTGTGTCTTAGTGTTCCTCAGCCTTCCCCTTGCCAAATGATTGGTTGTTCAGGATTCCATCTGAGTTCACTCTATCCATAATTAAGGACTGATCTCCCCTGGGAGGTGTAGATAAGAGGAGAAGTCTTCGCTTTGCTTTTGGTGAGAAAGACATGAAAGATACTGAAGAAAGCTTGAATTTCTGGGTCGAGTCCTGTCCCTCTGATGCCTTCTAGGCATGTATCTGAGGGAAATCTCCTCAATGTAAGAAAGCATTATATTGGCAAAGCAATCCAATAAAATAAGCTACCTAAGATGCAAAGCCTTTGATGTGCTGTCCTCTTTTCTTAGGATGAACTTATTGGCCCTGAGTTTTCCTGGACCTTAAAGTGCAGACAAATGGGGAGAATGAAAAGGTGGGAGGGAGGGTCCAGATAGAGATGGAAAGTGTTCTCATCCCAAGTGCCTGGTGAAGTAGGCAGCCAGGGAACCTGATGAATATGAGGTGGCCAACAGATCCCTGAATGCCCAAGTCTGTGGGTGGGAGTAAGGGTGGAGCGGGTGGTTTTTGGGGAGCAAAGGCTTCTGAATTACCTTATGTTGAAGAATATTCTGATGGCCAAATCTACATTTGGATCTGTCTAGCCAAAAGTATGGCAAGCTAAACCCTGTCCTCAGTTGAACTCTTCTTTTCAAAATCGCCCCTTCTGCAGCAGTCTGTATCTTACAATGAGACAACTGCAGTCCTCTAGGAGAGTGATGATGGTGACTGGTGCATACCTGTAATCTCAGCTACTGGGGAGGCTGAGGCAGGAGAATGGCTTGAATAGAGAAGGTGGAGGTTGCAGTGAGCCAAGATTGTGCCACTGCCCTCCAGCCTGGGTGACAGGACTCCATCTCAAAACAAACAAACAAACAAACAAAAAAATCCGGTTGTTTACAGACTGCCAAAATAATTTGTCTACACATAAGGGCCATGTTTTTTCTTTCTAGAAGCCAATTGTTTAGTTAGTCCTGAGGCATAGCCCAGCACCTTAATAATTATTTGTTGAAAAATGAAAGTCTTTTTAATGGCTAGTAATGTATTCTAATAGTGAAATAAAAAGAACCTATAAAGGAGTGAATCACATTTTAAGTTACTAGGCATAAAAAGATAGATGTATATCCCTGATTTTGCACAATAATCAACATTGATTTTACTAAAAATTTCCTAGGGAATAATCTCATATGATTGTCAAAGGAACCATAGTATTTCTAACTCCAATCTAATTTATGGCACCAAGGTCTGTATATACTTTAGTGTAGTTTAAGGCATCTGGGCTTTCTTTTTTTTTTTTTCTTGAGATGGAGTCTTGCTCTGTTGCCCAAGCTGGAGTGCAGTGGTGTGATCTCAGCTCACTGCAATCTCTGTCTTCCAAGTTCAAGTGATTCTCGTGCTTCAGCCTCCCTAGGAGCTGGAATTATAGGCACACCGCTACGCCCAACTGATTTGTTGTATTTTGATTGGAGATGGGGTTTTGTCATGTTGGCTAGGGTTGTCTCAAGCTACTGACTTCAAGTGATCTGCCCTCCCAAGATGCTGGGATTACAGGCCTAAATCACCTCGCCTGGCTGAGCTGTCATTTTCTAATGACCTACAAGCAGTGATCCTACTGATTGATCCCAGTCTCAAGCATTTTCTTGGGGAAACTGTAAAAAAGAAAAAAAGAAAAAACAACCACAGCAGGCTGGGTACAGTGGCTCACACCTGCAGTTGCAGCACTTTGGGAGGGCGAAGGGGGCGGACCACTTGAGTTCAGGAGTTTGTGACCAGCCTGGCCAACATGGTGAAAACCTGTCTCTATGAAAAATACAAAACTTAGTCGGGCATGGGTGTGGGTGCCTGTAATCCCAGCTACTTAGCCGACGGAGGCATGGGAAACACTTGAATCTGGGAGGCAGAGGTTGCAGTGAGCCAAAATCCTGCTATTGCACTCGAGTCTGGGAGACACAGTGAGACTCCATCTCAAAAACAAACAAAGCAAAACAAAAGCAAACAAAAAACACCAAAAAACCAAGAATACTGCTAAATGGATTTTTGTGTGTGTGGTTGTTTTTTTTGCAACTATATCTCCTGTTCAATAGCAAAAACTTTTCCTATAGAGAATGTCTTCTTAAGCCTTAAAATATGCTCTCTATGTGGATCTACTTTTTAAACTTAATGCCGAGTCACAGAAACTATAATAGAGAAAAATACTATATGTAATATATAAGGCCAATTAGTGGCCCAATAGATGGAAAAAATTTATATCTAACCCATGAGAAATTTCAGTCCTGACTTATTTATTATCACTGAATGTACACTATAAAAGATAGACATAATCAATAAAAAATGTTTCAATGTCTTTTTATTCCATTTTGGATGTGAGGAAAGCACATTTTAATAAATGGCAACTATACTAAAGTCATGATTCAGCTGTTTTGCACTGAAGGAAGTGCACAGTTCTATGACCAAAACAATTTAAATTAAATCATATCTGGCTGGGCACGGTGGGTCACACCTGTAATCCTAGCACTTTGGAAGGCCAAGGCAGGTGGATCACCTGAGGTCAGGAGTTGGAGACCAGCCTGGCCAACATGCTGAAACCTTGTCTGTACTAAAAATACACTAATTAGCCAGGCATGGTAGCGAGTGCCTGTAATCCCAGCTACTTGAGAGGCTGATGTGGAGAGTTGCTTGATCCCAGGAGGTGCAGTAGCCAAGATTGGGCCATTAGACTCCAGCCTGGGCAACACAGCAAAACTCTGTCTCAATAAAAAAAAAAAAAAAAAAAAAAAAAAAATTGTATCCTTAAGTAATGATTTCTTTGGAACTTTTTTTTTTTTTTGGCTACGGAGTTTCTCTCTTGTTACCTAGACTGGAGTGCAATGGCACGATCTCGGCTCACCGCAACCTTCGCCTCCTGGGTTCAAGCAATTCTCCTGCCTCAGCCTCCCGAGTAGCTGGGACTACAGGCATGCGCCACCACGCCCAGCTAATTTTTGTATTTTTAGTAGAGACCGGGTTTCACCTTGTTGACCAGGATGGTCTCGATCTCTTGACCCCGTGATCCACCCGCCTCAGCCTCCCAAAGTGCTGGGATTATAGGCGTGAGCCACCGCGCCCAGCTCACTTTTTTTTTTTTTGAGATGGAGTTTTGCTCTTTTTACCCAGTTGTTGGAGCACAATGGCACGATCTTGTCTCACCCCAACCTCCGTCTCCTAGGTTCAAGCAATTCTCCTGCCTCAGCCTCCCGAGTAGCTGGGACTACAGGCATACGCCACCATGCCCAGCTAATTTTTGTATTTTTAGTAGAGATGGGGTTTCACCATGTTGATCAGGATGGTCTTGATCTCTTGACCTTATGATCCACCCGTCTTGGCCTCCCAAAGTGCTGGGATTATAGGCGTGAGCCACCGCCCTGGCCTCTTTGGAACTTTTTTTTTTTTTTTTTTTTTTTTGCGACGGAGTTTCGCTCTTGTTACCCAGGCTGGAGTGCAATGGCGCGATCTCGGCTCACCGCAACCTCCGCCTCCTGGGTTCAGGCAATTCTCCTGCCTCAGCCTCCCGAGTAACTGGGATTACAGGCATGCGCCACCATGCCCAGCTAATTTTTTGTATTTTTAGTAGAGACAGGGTTTCACCATGTTGACCAGGATCGTCTAGATCTCTCGACCTCACGATCCACCCGCCTCGGCCTCCCAATAGCTATTATAGTGTATTCAAAGTTCTTCCTGGTGATTTAGAGTAACAGTCAGGAAAACTTTTCCTATAAAGGGCCAGATAGTAAATATTTTATGTTCTGTGTTATGCAGTCTCTGTGAAAACTGCTTATTCAGCAATTGCAGTGCAAAATTAGTCAGACGCAATATATTAATGATGCCTCTGTCCCAATAAAACTTTATTTATAAACACAAAATGAATTTTACATAATTTTATATGTAATGGAATATTGTTCTTTTCTTGGATTTTTTAGAGCCATGTAAAAATGATTACTGACTGGCCATGGTAGCTCATGCCTGTAATCCCAGCACTCATGCCTGTAATCCCAGCACTTTGTGAGGCCAAGGGGGCTAGATCACCTGAGGTCAGGAGTTGGAGACCAGCCTGGCCAACATGGTGAAACCCCATTTCTACAAAAAATGCAAAAATTAGCTGAGTGTGGTGGTGCCTGCCTGTAATCCCAGCTGCTCAGGAGGCTGATGCAGGAGAATTGCTTGAACCCAGGAGGTGGAGGTTGCAGTGAGCCGAGATTGTGCCATTGCACTCCAGCCTGGGTGACAAGTGTAAAAATCAGTCTCAAAAAAGAAAAAAAAAAACCTAAACCATGACCTATACAAAAAACAGGCATGAAAAATTGTGGAAGACAATGTGTCGATTCTTCATGGATCTAGAACCAGAAATATCATTTGACCCGAGCAATGCCATTACTGGGTAAGCACTTAAAGGATTATAAACCATTCTACTATAAAGAAACTTGCACACGTATATTTATTGCAGCATTATTTACAACAGCAAAGATGTTGGAACTGACCCAAATGCCCATCAATGATAGACTGGATAAAGAAAATGTGGTACATATACTCGATGGAATATTATGCAGCCATAAACAAGTATGAGTTCATATCCTTTGCAGGGACAAGCATGAAGGTGGAAAGCCATCACTCTCAGCAAACTATCACAGGAACAGAACCAAACACTGCATGTTCTTCCTCATAAGTGGGAGTTGAACATTGAGAATACATGGACACAGGGAGGCCAACAACACACCCCAGTCCCTTTTGGGGGGTGGGGAGCTAGGGGAAGAAGAGCAACAGGACAAATACCAAATGTGTTAGGGGTTTTAAACCTACAGAAAAGGATTATGGGTGCTTCAAGTCACCATGGTATGTGTATACCTATGTAACGAACCTCCATGTTTTATACATGTTATCCCAGAACTTAAAGTTAAAAAAAAAAACTGAAAAAAGGAAAAGGATTTGTCCTATCCATGTACTAAGTAGTACAAAACTTCAGTAAATAAAAGACTCTTTTTATTTCTATGATGGGGTTTCACCATGTTGGCCAGGCTGGTCTTGAACTCTTGACCTCATAATCTGCCCTCCTGGGCCTCCCAAAGTGCTGGGATTACATGCATGAGCCACCGCACCCAGCCAAAATACTGTGTTTTATTAATGCATGAATGGAAAGACAAATCAATGGAGTAGAATAGAAAACCAAATATACACCCACGTATATGCATAGAAATTTATTATTTGATAAAGAAGATGGCAGGGCACCATGGCTCATGCCTGTAATCCTAGGCGGATCACAGGAAGCCAAGGTGGGCACATCACCTGAGGTTGGGAGTCGAGACCAGCCTGACCAACATGGAGAAACTTCATCTCTAGCAAAAATACAAAATTAGTCAGGCGTGGGGACACATGCCTGTAATTCTAGCTATTCAGGAGGCTGAGGCAGGAGAATAGCTTGAACCCGGGAGGCCGAGGTTGTGGTGAGCCGAGATTGTGCCATTGCACACCAGCCTGGGCAACAAGAGAGAAACTGTCTCAAGAAAAAAAAAAAAACAAAAAAAGGAGATGATTCAGATTAATGTGGAAAAGGCAAATTACTTAACCACTCAATCAATAAATAAGTAATCATTGTGCTAAATGAACAAACCATTTAAAAATCCATCTGAATCAGGCAAAGTGGCTCACACATGTGATCCCAGCACACTGGGAGGGATAGGACGGAGGATCACTTGAGCCTAGAAGTTTGAGATCAGCCTGACAAGACAGTGAGAACTTGTCTCTACAAAAATAAAAAATAAACAATTAGCTGGGCATGGTGGAGTGCACCTATAGGCCCAGCTACTCGGGAGGCTGAGGTGGGAGAGTAACTTCAGCCCAGGGTTTTGAGGCTGCTTTGAGCTATGATCACACCACTGCACTCCAGCCTGACAGCAGGATACACATCAAGAGAATTTCAACTGAAGGGCTTTGATTTTTAACATATAAGTAGGAAATTTTCTCTTATTTATTTTTTTACTGTTGGCTACCAGATGGTAAGGTTTATTCTATGGCATTCATTTTTTGACACTCAATAGGGCCAGAACTGCTGCATATAGATTTTGATTATAAATTCTTTGATGCTTAATATTATATGACTTGGAAAATGCTATCACAGAAAGTAATCAAGATATACTTTGTACTTTTCACTCTTGAGGTTTTATGTGATAAAACATTGGTTACCTACAGTTCATTCTCCCTCCTTGGAAAGTGCAACAGTGCTGAACTCAATCAATCAAAATGAGAGACATCTGTAAAAAGGACCGGAATCATGCAGCATACTTTGAACTGCAAGTAACAGGAAACACTGGTCCGGTTGGATGCTAAGTAAGCACTGCAGGCATTCTGGGCATATTATGCTAAGGGCTCCCTGTCCACCTTGAGTTGGCTTCCTCTTTGGGTTGGTAGCAAAATACCTGTAGCTGTTTGCAAAATCGTATCCCGTCATAAACACCAGGAGAAGGAAAGAAGACTTGAGTCCTTTTGTGTGTCTCTTTTCAGAAATGAGACATCCTATGCGGGAAGCCTCCTTTAGGTTTTACTTCATTTCAAAAGTTGGACATGTGCCGTTTCCTAAAGCAATCACTGGCAAGGGAAATGGGATTATCATGATTAGTCTAAACTAATCACCTCTAGTTAAATTGATGTTAGGAGTTAGGGTCCATCAGCACTAAATAGGGTTCTATTTTTCCACATTCTGAAGTCACCTGGGAGTTTGTAACTCTGGCTATTGTCCTTGTGTATCCTGACAATGTCATGTTTGTCAGCGCACGTCAATCAAGATGGGTGATTATGAAACGCCAGGCTTCTAAAATAAATGTGTTGGAGTTCAATGGGTAAATAAATGCTGCTTTGGGGCTACTAAAAGAAAAATTAATTTATAGTTGTGTGTGCAACACTTTGCCCTGATATGTGTGCTCTACAGTAAAAACCAAATCTAATATATTTTGAAAAAAAAATAATTTTTGTAGTTTTAGTAGGGCAGGGGTTTCATTATTAGTCAGGCTGGTCTCGAACTTCTGACCTCAAATGATCCATTTCCCTTGGTCTCCCAAAGTGTTGGGATTACAGGCATGAGCCACTACACCTAGCAAATGACATATACTTTTAAAGTTAAACCCTCTTGTTTATTATACAGTGACATATAACTGGTAACACATTGATTTTTTTTTTTTTACAATAGAAGAAGTGAAAGTTATTTTTATTGTTCATATATTATCAAGCAGGCATCTGGTGACCTGTGGAATTAGAAGTACCCAGCAGACATTTCCAAGGGGTCACAAGTCAACAGATCTAAACTATATTGATCTTCCCTTAGATTCTTTTCTACTGAGGTGAATAGCTCAAAAGACAAGGGTGCCTTTAGTCTAGGCTAACCCCTGTACTTTCTATGCCATTAACACAGGAAGAAAGGCCATCCTTCCTTCCACCACTGGGGCTCAATGGACTGAGTGTTTGGTAGTGTACATTTCCAATCTTAATAGAGCAAAGCCAGGCTTCTGCTTTGATGACTGAGGTACAAGGACAGGAGTGGTCCAAGGTTCTAAGACCACTCATGTTCTGTTTCTGTTTTTTTCCAGACTTCTATACTATTGTCTACCCTAGGCCGTAGGGAATGCTGGTTAGTTTGCCAAACAGACACTCTGTTCAGCAGGTTTTGTGGTATCTCAAATCCCAAGTCTCAGCCAAACCTTTGCAGTACACCCTGACTCCAGGGAACAGGACCTCCTTTTGAGGTGAGGCACTTGGGTTCTTGCCCTTCCGTGAGGACTGTTTTCTCCTACTTCTATAAACATTGCACTGCCAGCTGAGAGCACTGACTCAGGCGGCACAGCCTTACTGAGCAAGCAGGGGGCATTCAGCATGCTCTCTGGTTCTGACCCAGACAGAGGGGACTGAAAACAAACCCTCTTTTGCTCTGTGGCTGGCTCACTGGCTCAACATGAGCGCTTAGCTTGGCCATGGCCCCTGAGAGAGGGGGAGAGACAGGGGCTCTGGGCCAGAGAAGTTTCTGGGAGGGGTTGCCAGCCTTGTCTTGAGCCATTAGTGTGGCAGGGGAGCACAGGGTGTAGGTGGAGACACGCCGGAGGCCACGTGAAAGTGGCAGCCAGCTCTACTTTCGAAAGAGAAGCAGTGGTTCAGTGACCCTGAGCATTCTGTCTGCAGGAGGGAGCTGCCTGGACAGCAAGTCATCCCCACTTCTGAATACACACAAAGGAGGCTGCCCATCCAGGGAAAGAAGAAAATGTTCAGGGAAGAGAAAGATCTGCTAAGAGAAAAAGGACAGACAGGGTGGAGTCAGGAATCAAGAATCAGGATAGTGAAGAGATTCCTAACCCTGCCCCTAATAGGCAGTTCTATTCATTAGGCTAGATGTTAACAGAGCCAAAAAAAAAAAAAAAAAAAGTCAAGGGGCACAACACTGAGGAGAGAAGCCTTCTAGATTTTACCCATTTCAAGGAGAAACTGGAACTAATTAATAAATAGACCTAACATCTAGCTTATTTTATTAAGACTTTCACTAACTTCCTCAGTAACCTTCTTATGCCCTTGGCAATGTGTTCTCAGTTCCTTTTCTATATGAAGTTCGCTCTTAGAAGCTGCTTACAGATTCTGTCCCTCAGCCTCTCCATCTCATGTCCAGAAATGGAGAGGAAATTGGCAACCCAACTAATTCCTCCTTTCCTTCAGAGTTTTTTCAAACATCGCTCTTCGGGAGAAAAATGCTCTAAGTGAAATAGTTTAATGTTCTAAGTAATGTTTATGTGTATATATATTTTTATGTTTGACCCGACTCCATCTCCTAAAATCTTTCCTTTTTTTGGATGTTTGGAAATGCCACAGCCATCTTATTACTATGAGGGGAGCAACCAATATCCTGAAGATGGTAGAGCAGAGGAAAGAATTTTGATGAGCAGCTCATGGAATCCTCAAAATTCTATGAGCTACTGTATTTACCAATTTTGGAATCACCCAACTTCAAGACTTCTTGATACATGACCTGAGAAATCTCCTTGTCATTAAAGAAAAAAATCCCTTCCCCAGCAGAGACCACTTTTTCTACAAACTTATAATGTTTCTTCTTTATTCTCAGCCTAAACTATACATTATGACATTGAGATTAGCATTGCCAAACTCCACAGCCACTTCTTACCAGGAGAAAACGGAAGCATGCTGTGTGTTGGGCTTGAAGTCCTCACTAGGTAGGCAGCTGAATGTCTGATCATGGCAAGAGCTTCCTCTTGCTTCATTTCCCTCATCCTTACATCCATACATGCTAACTCCCTCCCCTGACAATCCACCTGCTTTAGAAGCTTTGTGTCAAATGAAGTTACTTTTCCATTCCATCTAGCAAAAGCCTGGGCTGAAGATAATTCACAGGGAACTGCCCAGGCTCTGTTTTATCTCTTGCTTGAGCCACCTGCCTCAAAGCTCATAACAGCTCACGGAAAGAGAGTTATTTGGAGCAAAGACTATTACTTTTAGGCTACAGAAAGGTTGTCTAGGCTTTGCAAGCTGGACACTGAACAATGATCAGCTGCTTGCCTGGGAAGCAATGAGAAGAGAAAGGAAAGTGATAGCAACAAAGTGAAAGGAGGACAATGGGCTTAGAAGAGAGAGAGGATAGAAGAAAAAATATCACCTTAGCATTATAAAGGCAGAGTTCTTGGCTTTCAATAATTTCGCATTTTAAAAGAATACTGTACTGGAACGAGTTAACGTCATCATCTTTAGCGTCCTGGTAGCATTATTCAGTAGTTAATAAACAGGCATAAAACCTCTGCCTGGCTGACTTTGAAAAAGAACCTGAGGGACCCCAAACTCAGCCACTCTTGTAGCTTCCATCTCCAGTTCTTTTAATCCTGGCCAAGATGGTGGCCTTGGAGACTTTCTTCCGGTCATAGGCCAGACTGAGGGCAGCCACGCAATCAATGAAGAATGTGGTTAAGTTGATGTGCCAGCGGTACTCACTGGCAGAGTAGTCATAGGGAAAGGAGTGGTGGTAGTTGTGGAAGCCCTCACCCACAGCTCCAAGCGAAACCAGGACATTCTCCCAGGGGCTAATGTTCTTGTCATAAGGACGATATCTGTAGAGGTAGGCAGCACTGTTCACTAGCCAGGTGGCATTAAGCACTACAGCATATAGCAAGAAAGTGGCAACATACAAGCTGTGTTGAAAAGTTTCACCCCAGAAATAAAAGGGCACAAGTGTGGGCAGGATGAAGCACATCAGCACCACGCCGGGTTTGTAGAACCTCCTCTGGAACATCACCAGTTTCTCAGCTTTTAGGTCAGACAAGTCCAGCATAAGGCCCTTCTCTTTGACAGCTGGGTGTTTGCGCACAAGCAGCCAGCCCACGTGAGAGAAGAAAAAGCCACGTCGGGAATTAGGATCAGCATCTGTTTCTGAAAACTTGTGGTGGGCATGGTGGTCACAAGCCCATTCAAAAGACATCATTCTGGAATGCCATTGTGTTGGCAACGATCAGAAAGACCCGAAGGGGCGGCCGAGCTTTTTAAGTTCGGTGGCTCCACAGGCGATGAACTCCTGCTGTTATGCCCAGGGCACTGACAAAATAGTAGAATAATCCCCAAAGCCAGGTGTAGAACTTGCAGATAGGAATCAAAATGATCCCATACAGGGCGCCCAAGTGTTGCAGAGACATCAGGATGATGTTTCTCCAGACATATTCAACCTTGGGCCTTGGGCCTTCCTTATCCTTGTAGGTGGGGTCATATATATCATCTTTTATATCAGGACGAATGTCTTCTTCCAAATAGAGGGGCGTCTTCTCCAACTTATATCCTCCATTCTGCGGGACCCTGGAGGGAGGCGCTGTGATGGTGGTGGTGGTGGTGGTATAGGAGCTAGAGATCTCCTCCTGCAGCAAGTGGGCTGGCATCTTGGCTCTCAGATGCCGAGATCACTTTCCAGGGGCTGAGGCTGCCAAGTGGAGTTCGGGGGCGTCGGGGGACGTCGGTTTCGGAGCTCGCCGGTGCACGCTGGATGGGTGTCAGGGCCCGAGCCGCAGTGCCTGGAGGTTCCCGAGTCGGGTATTTAAAGGCTAGAGCTGGCAGTGGGTGACCATATCCCGTATTTCGTCAGCCCTGGTTTTATCCGCTGCCAAGCAGAGGCAAACTGCTCGGAGTACACTGGCGCGGGCGGCCAGGGTGGGACAGGGAGGAGACAGAGGCTGAGTCTCCCGGCAATCGCAGCCGGGCACCGGGATGCTGCCGACACCGACACCGCACCCCACATTGATTTTAAAACAGAAAACTAATCATTATCAATTATTAATTATTGACATTCATAATGTATTTTACAGGGTAAATTGAAGTCCCTGAGTATTCGTTAATGGCCTTCTTAACTCTGATGACAACTCTCCTTCTCTTAGTTGAGTAGGGTGTGTTCCTGATGATTTGAGCTGTTTTAGGGAACTATCCATGCTTTGTACAGATATTTTAGAATCTCGTTTTATAATGTTAATGCTTCTTGTTAAGTGTTCATATTTAAAAATACAAAGTAGAAGTTTTCAAGTATTCTATGCCATCACCAATCTAAATTTAGGTTAGCATATGACCTCCAAGAAGCTAAATCAGCTCTTGTGGTTGAATTGTTCTCTTTCACTCAGCAAATAGGAGATGAAAAAATGAAATATTTCTGTGTGATGGAGGGGCCTGGTAAAACCAAATATTTGTATAGGCAGTAGATATGTGATTGAGTTGTTCCAAATATCAGAGAACTCTGGAAATTGGGAGGTTTTCTGATTTCTCCCGGAAGTCTCAAATCTACCTGGCTCTCTAGACCAGATTTAGATGGATTTCGGACATGATTTCATGGCCTGGATTTGAAATCTAGGCTTTGGTCTTTGCAGCCTATTAATAGGATTAATAGTCATTTTTTCCAGTAATTGCTGGTATTGTATCTGACTAGTGCACCCTGTACAGTCTTAAATGCTACTGTGTGGTTACGTTCACTATTATATTTTGCAACAAAATGTACATGAGAGACCAACTGTAGGTAGATGCAGGCGATGTCCCGATAAACTGATGATCAGTGGATTCTGACAATGGTTAGATCTGAAGCTCACAGATGAGAGTCCTGATGGCTGACCTTGCCTTTGGTCAAAGGGGAGGATGATAAGTGTAAAAGCACCAAGGAACTTGCAGTTGGGAGCTGACAGGCATGGTTGAATCTTCCCTATCAAACATAAAGAACTCCTGCAAAATATCTTAACCAGTCAAGATGGCTCAGTGATGGTCATGCAAGAAGATGTAGAAAGTTTACTCTATGTTTGAAACCAGAGAGATTCAACAGTCTGCAATCAAGATCACATTAATTCCCCTACCTCCCAGATAAAGTGGCCAGGATCATCACCAAATGGCCCCGTTTTGGAAAACCAGCCCCTACTCCCTAAACACTCCTTAGACTCCCCTGGTCAACTCCTAAAATCAGCTCCCTATGACATGCTTATTTTCCTGTGTTATTTGCTTTCCCTTGATGCAGCACACCAAACAAACCCAGTCTTGTTGGAATACACTGTGTGGTCATTGGGTGGCTGTCGACACCTGTGCAAATCTAGGGAGCCCATTTGGAGCCTCCCTGCACCTCCGTCCCTCAAGGACTGCCCTGGTTCACACCCAGTAGATCTGCTCCAACCTCCTTTGAATTAAGCGGGAAGACAGTGTTTGATTCCCGGGCATCAGAAAGGCTAAACTAATCAGATGATTACGTTTGGCATGAAAGGATTCAACTCAGAGCAGATAATGACTTGGAACGAATTATCTTGGGAAGAGCTCTGGGGATTGGACACCGACCCTAGGGCGGGTCAAGGGGCGGGTCATTTGGATTCCTTATTAAGGACAGAGCCCAGGCCCTTCCTCACTATTTCTAAGTCTTTGGCCAACTGGTTGCTTGGACTTCCCCCTCTTCTGAATGTGGTCAGAGCAGAGCATGGACATGGAAACAAGAACTGTCACCGAGAAGCCGTGGTGGACCCTGCCTGAAAACTTTGATGCTCCAACGGTGTTCCATATGGAAGCGGACCAGGAGGAGCTTATCTTTGGTGAGTGGCCCTTGCTAATGTTCCTTTCTTCAGCCTGGCTTCTTAGGTTTCAATCTTTCCCTACTCTGTCACCTTCATAGATCTCGGGTCCCTTCCGCCAAGGCCACCTCCCCACTCCCCAAGGGCTGGTGGCTGACATTCCCTCCTCACCTCTTCTGCTCACAGGGCACAGTGACACATACCTTCGCTGCATCGAGGTGAACAGCCACACCCTCATTCAGCTGGAGAGCTGGTTCACAGCTACGGGCCAGACTCGTGTGACTGTAGTGGGACCACACAGGGCAAGGCAGTGGCTGCTGCACATGTTCTGTTGTGTGGGGAGCCAGGCCTCCGACCGTCATGCTCGAGGTAGGTATCCTTGGCTGAACTGTGGTGGTGGAGGGGCTTGATGGTGTTCGGGCTGAGCTGTGTGGCATCCTGGATTCTTGGAGAATCCCTTGTGTGGCTGGGGAATCCAGGTGCTTCCCCAGGTCCATTGGGAAAGGAAGGGCTCATTTTTGTGGCCAGGTAGCCGGGAGGTATCAATGGGTTACCTTGAAAGGCCTGGGCTGGAGTGACATCCACCCTGCAATGTCCCTGGTAGAGTCCTGGCTGCCAAGGGCCCCAGTAACAGGCTTTGCTTCACCAGCCCGGGACCTTTTTTTTTTTTGCAGGTCTTGAGATGCTGGAGCGTGTCCGGAGCCAGCCCCTGACCAACAATGACCTGGTCGCCTCCATTAGTGTTCCACTGTACACCGGAGACCCGTCTTTGGCTCCCAGGATAAGTGGAACCATCTGTCTTAGTGTTCCTCAGCCTTCCCCTTACCAAGTGATGGGTCGTTTGGGATTCCATCTGAGTTGACTCTATCCATAATTAAGGACTGATCTCTGGTGGGAAGTTTTGGATGAGAGAAGTCTTGGCTTTGCTTTTGGTGAGAAAGACAAGAAAGATACTGAAGAAAGCTTGAATTTGTGGCAGACTCCTGTCCCTCTCATGCCTTCTAGGCATGTGTCTGAGGGAAATCTCCTGAATGTTGGAAAGTGTTATATTGGCAAAGCAATCCAATAAAATAAGCTACTTCAGATGCACAGCCTTTGATGTGCTGTCCTCTTTTTCCTTAGGATGAACTTATTCAGCCCTGCAGGGGCTTCTCTGGGCAAGGCCAGTGCTGAGGTCTGGGGAGGCCCAGCCCAGGGAAGGAGCCAGGCACAAAAGTCAGCTCTTTCAGATACTAGTCCTCTCAGGCCTGGAGCCTGGTTAGGCTGCTCTGAGTTGAGTGAAAACAGGGCCTTCTGAAAAGGGATCCTCCTAGGAGCCCCAGGGTCTTTCTGGATTTTGAAGTGCAGACCAATGGGGAGAATGGAAAGGTGGGAGCGAGGGTCCAGATAGCGGTCCCTCAGGTCTGAAAAGGGATCCTCCTAGGAGCCCCAGGGTCTTTCTGGATTTCAAAGTGCAGACCAATGCGGAGAATGGAAAGGTGGGAGCGAGGGTCCAGATAGAGGTCCCTCAGGTCCCTCTGAAGTCCCTCAGGCTGTGAATTAATCCTTTCCAGAAGTTTCTCCAAATGCCAAATCTACATTTGGATCTGTCTAGTCAAGACTGTGGCAAGCTAAACCTGTCCTCATCTGAACTCTTCCCGTTTCAATTTTTTCTTTCTCCAGCTGTCTGTATCTTACAATGAGGGAATTTCAGAGTCCTCTAGAATAGAGTGACGATGGTGACTGGGACCAGAGTGGAGCAGTGGTAGTGTTAGGAGATGGTTGAAGTTGGAACCTATTTTGAAGCCAACAAGGTGTGCTAATTACATAGTTTTTACATGGCCAGTTACCAAATGTAAGTTAGAAAGGTCATATTCAAAGTATAAAGACAGGAATTTGCTTGAGGAAGAATGTAACTAAACTGTACTATTCCCAAGGGGAATATCATGTTTACTTTTAAGTGTATAAATTAATAATTGATGGCTCATGAACTAGAGGAAAAACTTATTTTATAAAATACATATGCAAAAGTATTTTCTCCCTCAAGTTTTATACCATGAATGATGAAATCAGTATTTTTTATTTTAAGGCTGTAATTCTCATCTCTAAATCCCAGTCAGCAAAAGTTTCTGTGTGGATTCGGCCTAGGTATTATAATGGAGGAGTGAATATCTGACACACTGGTGTGAGATTACGTGCAGTTAAATCGTAGCTCTACCAGTAGATAGCTTTATGATCTTCAGCAAGTTACTGGTTTCTTAGTGCATTGGTTTTCCGATATAAAATTGAGATAATAATACTGACCACTTCAGGTGAGCAATTTTATTTTGCCTGTATTCTTTCACCATCTTTCTTCTACAGAACTGTTGTTTCCTAAAGATGTACCCAGACCGGGCACAGTGGCTCACGCCTGTAATCCTTGCATTTTGAGAGGCCAACGTGGGTGAATCACCTGAGGTCAGATCGAGACCAGTTTAGCCAACGTGGTGAAATCCTGTCTCTACTAAAAATACAAAAATTAGTCAGGCATGGTGGCAGCCATCTGTAATCCTGGCTACTCGGGAGGCTGAGGCAGGAGAATCACTTGAATTTGGGAGGTGAAGGTTGCAGTGAGCATAGTGTCATTGCACTCCCCCCTGGGCGATAGAGTGAGTCTCAAAAATAAAAATAGAATAAAATAAAATCCAGGTGTACTCTACCTTCCTAGCTCCAAAAGGGGAATGGTGATTGGCTTAAGCCAATCAGACTGTACACATTGTGATTCACTGGTCCGGGAATGAGCATGTGACCCGTATTAGTCTAATCAGGTGTTAGGAAAGGATTTATATTCTGCACTTGGATAGAGGGTTCCCTGCCTTCTCCCATCTCTGTTTAGATGTGATTTAGGAGGTATGTGGCTTTAGTTGCCACTGTTGTCATTTTGTAGACAGTAAGAGGAGCCACCAATAATATATGGCTGACAATGAGGACAGCAGAGACAGAAATAATGTGGAACTTCGATGATATCATTGAGCAAATTGTGCTCTGCTTGGAGATAGCCCTACCTCTGTTCTTCCAGTTAGATAAAAATGTCCTTCTATTGAAGGTTTTTTCTTGTGGTAATGCAGTAAGGATTATATTTGATGGTAACTGGGAAACATTTTTTTGACACAGTATTGGGCAGTTAGTAAGTATGGGCTATTTTAAGGTCTGAGATCCAAAGACTGTAGGCTGGGCTCTGGCTATGGGTCTGGCATTGGTAAGAAAGAGTAAAGAGAAGCAGGGAGCAGAAGTATGATGTTACAGGGTGCAAGGACAGTGGAAGAGTAGACGGTCCCCCTTTTTTCTTTGGGGTCTACAGTGAAGTGTGACAGAAGGCATTCTTTCTGATGAATGGACAAAGTCTAGGCATGGGTGTCATCTATGGGGTCTGAGTCAACTGTTTTGGAGGATGGGGACAAATAGAGACCAAGGATGTGAGGTCTGAGTGGGATGGGAGTGGGGCTCTTTAGGTCCTAGTTTTGTAGAAACATGATTACTGGTTATGTGGCATTAATTTCTTCCTGGGCCCCTTTGGAAAAGTATAAGACCTCTGGGAAAAGTAACAGATTAAATTTGTGACACAGTATGAATGAGGCTTAATGATTGCACTTTCCTCTTGACTGCAGAGCCTCTGAAATTAGGGGTTGGAAGTTGTTAAAAGCTGAATAGAAGTTCTGGGGTGAGCAAAACACTTTTGTTTATTAACATATTGAGTCCCTAATACATAGTACTTTGTGAGAAGCTACTTTCTTAGTGCATTGGTTTTCTGATATAAAATTGGAAAACCATATCGTGGATATATCGTGAGTGAGATATCCTTGCCCTTAGCTGTTTTATTCTGGGGCATTTGTGGTGACTTTGGGCCCTAGGGAAGACATCTAGAGGTGATGTTCAGGAGGGATATCTGGGCTGAAGATAAGTGATTGGGTGGGATCATTCTTTGTTAGTAGTTGATATCATAGGTGAAACCACCTGGGGAGAATGGAGCCTGAGGGAGAAAGGTGAAGAGGCTCATGATGGAATCCATGGGGAACACCCACAGTTAAGAAATGCCAAATGGCCTGGGCGTAGTGGCTCACGCCTATAATCCTAGCACTTCGGTAGCCTTATTGGGGTGGATCATGAAGTCAGGAGTTTAAGACCAGACTGACCAACATGAGGAAACCCCATCTCTATTAAAAATACAAAAATTATCTGGGTGTGGTGGCACACACCTGTAATCCTAGCTACTCAGGAGGCTTAGACAGGAGAATTGCTTGAACCTGGGAGGCAGAAGGTGCAGTGAACCAAGATCTCACCACTTTACTCCAGCCTGGGTGACAGAGCAAGACTCTGTCTCAAAAAAGAAAAAAAAGAAATGAGAAATAATAGGGGCTTGGAGAATTCTATAGATGACCAAGCCAGAGAGGAAGGACTATGGCAGTGTGAAATATGTACAGTATTTGGTCTTAGTCCTGTTTCCTGACATACAGCTCCTAAAACCTTTGGAATCTGCAAATTGGTGAGTGTCTTTAGTATGCTAATGAGATGACTGGTGGCTGGGAGCCCCTAGGTAGCTTCAGGATGGGGACTGGTCACAGGGAAGGTCAAAATGTGATTAGAGGGTTGGAACTTTTCAGCCCCACCTCCAACTCTGGGAAGGGGAGAGGGGCTGAGAGTTGAGCTAATCACCAATGGCCAATGATTAAATCAATCATGTCTATGTAATGAAGCTTTCATAAAACCATAAAAGGACTGAGTTTTTGGAGATCCTGGATACCTTAACCCCTGGAGGTTCCTGGAATGTGGCATGCCTGAGGAGGGCGTAGAAGCTCTGTACTCCTTCCCTCATAACCTTGCCCTATGC